AGAGAAGTAGGTGCCTGCTACGAAGCGCTCGGTGCAGACATCTAATCTAAGCTGACCGCAGACGAGCCATTTTTTGGCTCAAGCATTACCCCCTTATCCGACATCCATAAGCTTGATGTAGATAGGCGGGGACTTGCATCTCGTACACACTCGTGTGCAGGTGATTGAGTAGGCCTTCGGAGTGCATGATGGCAGTATGGACTTGCTTGCAACAGTAACAATGCATCACGCGCTGTGGCCACTCGTTGTTCGACGGTCGTGGCTTTCCTGAATACTATGTTTGTCGCCTGGCAGGTCAAGGTGCAGGTGCCTTCCCCCGGGAAGACGGGACGTGGGAGCTGCACACCAGGATTCAAGAGAGACTCTCTCCGTGGCATGCTGGCCAAGAAGAGTATATACGTGCGAACCTGCTGGGTTTTGGTTCGAGGCCATGGAAGCTAGGGGCACCAAAAACCCAGTTGAAGCCAAGACATGCGATCAGATGAAGAGCAAAGCCACTTGCTAAGATGCATGCATCCTGCAGCGAGAAACAGAAGCTAGAGAGGCGGCCGCCGTGGTGTGCCCGAACCCCAAACCAGTGCGACCAAATCTGCCGGTCTTTGTACCATCACCTGTCCCTCCCTGATGGCGCCGAGACCGCGTGCAATGGTTGCCCCCATGACTTGACGGACTTCCTTGGTTGGATGTTAGATTCGATGTATCGTTTGTTTCATCAGGCGAAGTTGAAGATACAGTGATGTTCCTGCAGTGGCTGCGTCCTTGTGCTGGGGTTTCTCCAGAATATCGAAGATGACCGACAGGATACGCATGATGAGCGACTGGATTACAACCCTCGGCCTTGACAGGCGTGTAGCCCTGTTTTGCAGAATGGGAGAGGGCTGCAGGTGAAGCTTCACATCAGCCAAAGTCTGATTCTTGATGTCGTACCGCAAGTGTAGCTGTAGCTGCAAACCCTGTTGCAGGTACCTCCTGTGTTGCAACGTCCAGTACTTTGGGTGGCACAGACTCGCAAGGTCCGTCAAGGTTCCGATGTCTCAGCAGGACAGAACTTAAAGGGTTCGAGGCAGGATGCGGAGTGAGTGCAGTGAAGAGGCAGAGCCAGACTGTACATTCCATCAAGCCAGGAAAACCTATCATGATTCAGCTGAGGCACGAGCAGACTTCTGTCAACGGCGAAATGAAGGTTGTGCCCATGGCTGGATGTAACATTCTGCGGTAACCAAAGAAAGACAGGTCCGCAGACCGCCCAGTGTTTCAGATCAATTCTCATCGGTTTGTTGGCCGTCACCCATTGATTTGATGCTTTAGTTTTCGCAGCTGCCTATGAACAAGGTGCAGCTCACAAGTGATGTCCTGGAAACGCGGCTGGCACACCCAGTCCATCTCTTAACAGAGCAGGATTCCTTCGACGTCACGGTCGCGTGGCTCTGACTTGGAGCCTCAGGTTGTTAAGGATTGCTTGGCTTGGGAGGCTCTAGGTGGGTGGATGCAAAGCGTGTTGCGTGTCATCAAAGCCAGTGGATCAATCGGGTAGCATTCAAGGTGTCCCCACGTGCCGGGGCCATGGGTGAGTGGACAAGGCAACTGCAAATGACACCCCGTCAGCATGATTTCAGGCAGGGCTCCGTTTGCCGGCTGATTAGCTTGGTGAGCTTGTCTCTTGTCACCGTGGAACGACCGAGTCGTTTTCGTTGTCCATGCAGTGTTCAGAGTAACACTATCAAGCGATGTTGCTTGCGCTGAGAAGGGTTGTGCATGGTCTGTCGCTTCTCTTCAGCAGCATCCTTGTGTGGTGATTTACCTGTGTGTCTGCAGGGATCGCATTCAGTTGCCACGGCTGCTACGCTATCCTCTGCCACCAGATGCGCTCCCGGACGAACCTGAGGACAAGTGTCTCAGCTGCAGGAAGACCAAGACCTTCAGTGTGTGTCTGATTCTACGCAGGCCGGCTGAGGGCCAGAAGGATAAAGTGGAATTGCCAGTGTTACGGACATCGGACTTCGGTCGTCCGTTGTCAGGCGCCGGGCGACTCTACTCCGGGTGTTCCAGGCGTGATGCATTTGAATACGGCCTGGTTTCGAAGATGGCTTCGCATAATAGGGCGCCAGCCAATCAAGGTTGCGACCCACGTGGACCCGCGCATTTTCTAAAGTATGATGAAGTGTTAATCGACCAGTGAGTCTGGACGAAGTCATGCGCTGGTGCCGTTCGGCAGGCGAGCATGCAGCTCTTTATCTCTTTCTTTTGTTTTCTCTCTCTCTCTTTCTCGCTCTCTCTTGCTCTGTCGCCCTTGCCCACAGGATTTCGTTCTGGACCTGCACAGAGGCATGCACATGACGCAGATAAGCATCTCGGCCTGTAGAAAAGAATGCATGGCACCATTCTTCCTCCTTTCCTCACATCCCAGTGCCAGGCTCGAGCCAGGACTCTTGCCAGCAAGAGACGGCTTTTTCTCAGGCAAGAAGTGCCCTCACGTCATGCGCCCATGAGTGTCCTGCGGCTCATCAGGGCTTTGCTTGTCTAACAGTGTTTGCACCCATAGATTCTCGAAGCTTCTGTGCTCTTTGATCCTTTTTTCCGTACCTTCGGCTGAGGAGTACTCAGACATCCACTGTCAGATTCTGGAGAATTTGGAAACTCTAAAGACTCTTGGTCGTTATTAAGGTATCAGAATCCAAGCACGGACCATGCTGCACAGCTCGACAAGTTTGCATGCATGGGTTCTTCAGACGGGCGAATGCTCTCGAGGATTGACCAGGGTAGTGGCTGCATCATCGAGTTTCCCCTCAGTGCTGTGTCGAAAGTGTCGCTTGACCTCCAGAGTATGATGGCTCGTCAAGCACACATTCAGACCTGCAGCACTGCTGGCTGTCGTCGACCGCAAGATCTGGCACTGGAGGTACCGAATCGTCAAAAATGACGACCGATGGTTCTCTGCAGGGTCGCTTACGGGGCCCACGCCGATGCCTCCTCTACCTCTTTCGAACGCGGAGACCAAGATCTGAGGGTTGACGCAGTTGATGTTTTCTTGAGAAGCATGGGGGGTGAAGCCCAAAATTCGAAGGCTCGCATGGGGATGCATGGGGGGCGTTGCAGGAGCACATCGTGGTTGTTGAATTCATGAAGCGCAAGCTTGCGTTTGTCTTCAGCGATATGGCCGCAGCCTCAGTCGAGCTCCCCATTGGCTCATTTTCGCTGACGTCTCCGTGCAGCGTCATAGCAGTGAAGACATACTCTTGCGGACACTTGCGATGAAGTGACACCATTGTACAAATCATATCCGCGAAGTTTCACCATCAGGGAAGAGTTGATGCTTGCATAATTTGTCCATGTTTATTTTCTAATTGTTGGACCAGCCTAGACCAGGAGTCTTGGAAAAATGCACTAGCTTAGGACTTAGGAAGAACACTCAGCCCTTTGGTGGAAATGCCCAACCATTCACAGACTGGATCTCAAACCTCTCGTATCACCATACGTTCCGGAAAGCACTGAGTTCGCACAATCGAGTGCGGCATGTACCGTATGAGTCTTTGATCAGCCTCCTTGGCAACACGCGAGGCGCCGGCGTTGGAAACGGTGGCACTTGTAGAGGATCGACAACCTGTCATCAAAGTCACATAAGGCAGCTTCTCAACGGTTCCTGATGTGCATGGAGCTCCTGATCCGGAGAGCGCAGGTGCCTTGCCGTGCAGTTGAGAGGCTGCGGTTTCTCAACGTTTCGTGAGGAGAGTTGGCGATCGCGGGTGTTTTTGGTCGTTGAACTGGCCAGTATTGTTTCAGAAGTCTCAGATTGCAGAACCTGTTGCTCTCCATGATCTCCCCGCTCTCAGGAAAGTTCTGAAGTTCGCGTGCTGGGACCCCAGATAGATAGCGAATCACTCCACTTGGGGCCAAGCGTCATGCGTCAGGGCCACCGCTTCTGCGACCATATGCCTAGAACTGAAAGCTCTGAGCTTGAAGTCCCAATTCCGCTACTCTTCATTTTTTTACCCTTTGCACAGTCTCCAAACCTCCCAAAGCCGTGTTCATGTCGACCGAGGCCTGGGCAAAAACCCGCACCTTGGTCTCGTTCATGCAAGGATGCAGCCGCACCTGGCGGAATATATGTGAGCAGAAGGATTGCCCAGTTGATGCAAGCATTCTTAGGACAGTCTGATACCCATGTTTTCCGGGTCCCACTCTCAGTCTGCTTCAGTGTGATCAAGTCGCAGAAGTGTATTTTCCCCTTTACGTTCGAAGAGCATGTTGCTTCAAGGACACAGGGCCACAAGAAACCTGGCGAGCGCTTCGCCCAGCCATTGCCCCGCCAGATGCATGGGGAGGAGGTGCCGCGGCGAGCGTGCCAAGAGGTCTTGATACGTGTGGAGTTGCAGTTGCCTCCTGACCGTGAGGAAAGTTTGCTCGCTCTTTGTGGCTGTGAAAGTGCATCTGAGACGGCTACTAAAATGTGATCGTCATCGGTGGGATCTTCAGAGCTGTCACGGGTTAACAACATGACACACGGCAGGCAGAAAGTCTCCACTCAACTCATTTTACAGCAGTTTCTGCGTTTCACCCAACCTTGAAGCCGCGATTAGAAACGTGGACGACCGTGGCTCGAGCATCTGAAAGTCGGCAACGCTCCATGTCTGACATCTGCTGTTGGGCGTAGTTCTGTCGTAGGAATCACCAACAAAACCTTCACAGCGTGAGTCAAAAGATGTCATACTGTCACAAGCATAGGTGTTGTATCAAATTTTGTGTGCATTTTGTGCTTGCCCTGGGGCTCAAGTGGCTCCAGCTGCTTGAGCTTCAAATTAGGAGCGCGTTGTGAGAGCGTTGTGGCAAGATCCAGATCCAACGCAAGCACATCTCGATCCACTTCGGTTGATCCCAATGCAGGGTTTAAGCTTGGTGTGATGTCTTTACCAAGACTTTTTCGGTCAACCAACGAACCAGTGGGCTGATGGCCAGACGAAGGCAGATACTGAAAGCTGTGCTGGTGGGCAAGACTTCGAGCCATGTCGGCGGCGCCGCCCTTGGCCTTCCCACTTGTCATGGGGCTGGCTGTGCTGCTGCTGGTGGGCTACTTGCTTAGGCCAGCCTTCGAGCGTTAAGGGGCATGCCACAGCGCTTGTCATGGTAATTTTTTCCCTGCTGCCAGTGCCGAAGAAACCAGCGGCTGCAAACACAGGTTGTATGAACCGGAGGAACGTGAGGTGCAGGGACTGCAGGGAGACTGCAGGGGAACTGCATTGGAGTGTGCGTGTGCATATATATATATATATGATTGCCGCTTGCCACAGGCCGTGTCTTTTATGATCGGCACAACTGATTACAAAAACATTCCCTTTGCAGTGCTAATGCCAATGTGTCAGTGATTTGGCAGGGCGTTTTTCGTGTCCTGCAACCTGCCCGGCCCAGTGGGCGTCCTGCTCAGTGGCTGGCTCTGTGGCAAACTCGGCCTGATGCAAACAGAAGCATGGAAGCAACGGGAAAGCTACATTTCCCACCTTGTTCCATTGCGCGGGTTAAAGTTGGAGCGCGCCGTTGAAAGGCATGGAGCATCATGCCGCATGAACTCACTTCGCTCACCTTGTGTGTGATCTTAAGGAAATCCTCGAAGGACGCGACCATTTCCAGGCTTGGGCCTAGGGACGCGAAGACATACGCTGACATGCATCACATGCGTTCATGCGCAGCAGTCCGGGGTCATGATGCGGTGCGTGACATATTCTTGCTTTGGACAGTGCTCTTCTCCGAGGAATGCGCATTCTTCTTGGTTCTCCTCACCGCTGGCTTCGAGATCAGTCACAATACTCCAAAAACTCGTCATGTGGCTAAGTTGCATAAAATCCTGCACAACAATTAGGTCCCAAATCGAGTTGGGCCAGCTGCGACGTGCAAGGATGTTTCTTTTCAAATTGGTTCCAGGTGTGAGGCGTGAGCTACAAGAATCGATCAAAGCCTTGTAACCTCGACTTGTCATCAGAGAGCCTCAACTCTGAAGCTGGAGGTGATCCTGGGCATTGTCCCCTGCTTCTGTGAGTTCGTGAGCGCCTTGAGATATGGCAAGATCAATCTCAGCACCGCTGCAATGGCTGTCTGCAGCATGCGCAGACAACTCGAAGTTGAGGTCGGCATCTCCATCTGGGCTTGCTTCATGGAGGCGTGGACATTGCAAGGTCCAGGCAGACACTGCTAAACTCTTATGGCAGAGAATGTCTGCATTGCTGGCCATGTGCTTCCGGTGTCTCAGCTGCGCCAGCAGCCTTGAGAATGCAGGAGCTGTCGCGCATCGAAGCCTGTGTGACAGGCACGAGAATGGGAGTGGGCTTCCTGGTGTAGACGTGAGTTTCATCCCTAGACCTTGCATGACAGGAGCTGTCCTCTGCGGCTTAGCAGATGGCATTGTCATCCCGAAGATGATCGAGATGGAGGATCAGGTACCATCAGGTGCTCGGGCAAGGGCAGTGGCACCACGTGGCAAGGCGTCTTGCCGCTTGAGCTGCTGGTTAATTATCCTGTCGTCAGGAAAAGCAGAGCTCACCCGACTCGTCCTTACGACTGCTCCGCTGGAGGCCGGCCGACATTGGAAATCATGCTGGCTTTTTTTGTCGAAATTTTCCGTGCCATGCACTGAAAAGCAGAGCGGCAGCCGCCAACAGCCAAGGCCTCTTTTGTGCTGACCCTTTTCGGGCTTCTGTCGGGCTTTGCCGAAGTGTCAAAGTCGAATTCGGCAGACCCCGCCGCGGACTGAGATGCCAGGAGTGCCTGCCTAATGCCAGGCATACACAGTATAAAACCTTTCTAGCACCTCGGGACAGCGAAAGATGTGGGTTCGGAAAGCTGTCCGAGGCTGCAATTATTGGCGCCAACGTTGTTCGCTTGATCGCAACCGTCGTCATGGGCTTCGCCTTAGGCCGAGTCGGGGCGATGCCGAGCGTTGCTGAAGGTGCAAAGGCCGAAAGTGTTCAAAGCCCTTCCGTTTCGGCAGGTAACGTCACGGGCCAGATGGTGCAGAAACGGCATGCGTGCCTTGCCCAGTCGGCAGTGCTGCTTGTATGGAGCCCACAACAAAAGCAACATGCGGCTCGATCATGCAATATCGCACCTTGTGCTCGGTGCAATTCATGCAAACGACCTGGCACATGCGCGCGCGAGCGCGAGCGCCATGGCTTGTGTGCAACACTGCCAGGTCCTTTGGCTTCACTGGCAGGATCGAGGACCTTCCGTCTCGCCTCGCCAGCTCTAAGCAAGTGAGATGTGCCCATGGCAGCCATCGGCAGGAGACGTATCTCTTCATCTTGGCAGTGGCGCTGGCGGGATTTGGGCTCGGCCTTCCGAAGGACCCAGCGCGTGGCGGGAGCGGTGCCTTTCCGCTCTTCAGCGTGTTTTGCGTGTTTTGCCTTCAGCAGCGCGTAGTACGTCTTGTGTGCCTTTGTGCGACTTCTACAGGAGACGGGCGGCACGCCGCTGGTGCCGATGGGCTTCGCACCGGGCTCGCTCTTCCAGCCAGAGCTGCTGGTGATTGTGCAGCTCGGCAGCCGGCTCAGCGGCTGGCTCGGCTTGCCCTCGGCTCAGTACAGAGCCTTGAGTTCGGCCATCTCAGGCTGGGTTGCTCCTTCAGTCAAGCCAACTTGACCGGGCATCGCGAGAACAACTTGGATGCTGTAGTAGGCGGAGTCTGGGCTGCCTGGCAGCAGCCTTTGCGACTAGCTGAAGCTGAGGCAAGGTGGCGAGGGTGGCTGAGGTTGCTGTTGCTCCGTAATGCACAGCAAAAGATGTGTGCTGCCCTCTGCCCTCTACTCTTGTCAGGTTTTTGGCCAGATCTTCCTTTTCAGCATGATCGGCAGCAAGATAGCTGCCCGACAGAGCAACAGCCTGTGCGGACCAACGGCAGCCTGCACTATTGACTGGCATTACCTGGAACAAACATGGAGTGGACAAGGGGGATTCAGCAGGATTTGCAAAGCATGAGAAGCTGGATTATCAGGAGCCTACTCTGGATCTGTAGCATTCCTCAGGTCACAAGATTGAGGTTGGGGACATTGCAGGTTTCACAAGCCGTAGAAGTAGGACAACGGCATTGTCGATAGGAGGCGACACGAAGGCATCGCAAGTCAGCATTGCAGATATTAAGCATGCTCGGCATATCGGACTCACCGCGTCAGCCCCCTTGGGATGCAGGAGCCTTTGCCATGTCTTAGTCTTGTTTGGGCAATGCGACATAGAGCAAACGGACAAACACCGACTCTACAGCAGCAGGTGTGTGGACTGACTCAACGCAAGGCTTGCGTAGTTGCCTTAGATGCAGGGTTTTGTGACGCTTCCGTCACGGGCTAGGATTCAGAAAAAGCATTCTCAGTACGGGGCCTGTTCAACATGCGCAGACATGTCCATGTTAGTGAGCTGTGACCAGTGGCCAAAACTTGCAAAGAGAAGCAGCAGACGAATTCGTCAGCCTAGGATGTCACAGTCTTCGTGCAAGCCACGCGGGTGCTTCCCATGCTCGTCATCGGCCTCGTGTGCCGCTTCTGTGGGATTTCTCTGGCCATTCTAGTATGCCATTGGCTGGAGCACTTCGGAAGCAGCCCTGGCACCGTCAAGCCGCTGGGGTTGAACTAGCGAAGGTCTCGGCTACGAGGTGCTACCAGCAGCAGCATCTAGTTGTGCATGTACGTGTGTATGTCTGTATGTATGTTTGCATGCATGCAGGCAGGCATGCATGGATGTATGTATGTAGGTAGTATGTGGGTATGTACGCACGTGGAGGTATGCATGCATTCATGCATGTATGTATGTAATTATGTATGGAGGTAGGTATGTATTCCGTCTGCGATCTCACAATAAGCATTTGTTTTATTTTTTCTCGTGTTGATAGTGTTAACAGGACCAAATGTAGGTATGTATGTATGTAAGTACGTATGTATGTATGTAAGTATGTTGGTAGGTAGGTATGTATGTACTTATGTACGTATGTACGTAGGTATGTATGTATGTATGTAAGTATGTATGTATATACGTATGTATGTATGCATGGACGTATGTGTGTATGTATGTTTGTTTGTTTGTTTTTGTGTTTGCTTGCTTGTTTGTTTGTTCGTTAGTTTGTTTGTGTGTGCATGCATGTTTGTATGTATGTATGTATGTATGGATGTATGCATGTATGTATGTTTTTTTTGCTTCTTTGTTTGTTGTTTGTATGTATGTGTTTATGTGTGTGTACGTATGTATGCATGCATGGATGGATGGATGGGTTGTATGTATGTATGTATGTATGTGTGTGTATGTATGTATGTATGTGTGTGTATGTACGTATGTATGTATGTATGTATGTATGTATATATATGTGTATGTGTATGTGTATGTGTATGTGTACGTGTATGTTTATGTGTATGTGTATGTGTATGCGTATGCGTATGTGCATGTGCATGTGCATGTGCATGTGTATGTGTATCTGTAGGTGTAGCTGTATGTGTATGTATGTATGTATGCATGCATGTCTGTATGTATGTATGTATGTATGTATGTGTGTATGTATGTAGGCATGTAGGAACGTAGACGTATGGATGCATGCATGCATGCAATACGGTGCTTGATGTGTACACATGTGCTCACTTGTGGAAATGCAGAAAAAGTTCGGGTGCTGCTATTATGGTCTTTCTGTGTATGCATAAAAATGAACGGATGAATGGATGGATGGATATGGGTGGGTATGTGGGTGGATGAATGAATTAATGGATGGGCAATGGATTGATGGATGTATGGATGGATGGACGCAAGATTTGGTGTGAGTTCGTATAATACGCGTACAGCAGTATACATTGAGTTGTCTCGGTCAATATGTATTGACCGACGGACATGTCAACACAAAGTTCAAGACCCACACACACACACACACACGCACACACACTTGTGCAATCCTCCCTCTGGACTGATTTAGCATACATGTTAGCAGTCTTTCCAACACAGAGGAGTAGGACCTGAAGAGGATTTTGGCTTAGCCTCTCGCCATCATCACTTGTGTGGGGTTCTGGGCTTAGCCCCTGGCCATGCAAT